GTGGATTGACAAATTGCTGCACCCTTCTACGTACTGTGAAAGCGTCTGCGATTGTATGATTTGCGTACGATGGGAAATATGTTCAGGAGCTACATTCAAATTGTCGAGGTCTGCTGCTAGCCACGAGAAGGCTTCGATGGAGAGTGCCTCTGGTTTTGCTATTCCTCCTCCTCCTCCGCTGAAGGAGCGCAGACTACACTGGGTTTATTGTACGGTCCGTAATTTGAGTTGCATGGCCAACAATCGCAAGACTGTGACTTGTGTCTTTAATTTGCCGCTGTGACGGAGATGTGCGCGTCGGCCTGTCGATGTTCTGACGGGGTTGATGGTTGCACCAGTGGTGAGTGGGTGGGTAGGTGAGTGGGTGGGTGGGTGAGCGAATTAATGGGTGGGTGCGTGAATGAGTGGGTGAGCGAATTAATGGGTGGGTGCGTGAATGAGTGGGTGAGCGAATTTATGGTTAGACCAGTGGTGAGTGGGTGGAAAGGTGAGTGGGCGGTGGGTGAATATGGTGGGTGAGTGGGTGGGTGAGTTGGTGGGTGAATGGGTGGGTGAATTGGTGGGTGAGTGGGTGCGTGAACGAGTGGGCGAGCGAGCTGATGGCTCCACCTGTCTCTTCGAGGGGCAATGTCAAAGCCTGGAGGTGGGATGGTTGGGTCCCGAGTGAGGTGATCATTCTGGATGGTCGACGTCGTTCTACTGTTCGCCGGCGTTCTTCCGGATCTGGGTGAGATCCGGGACTTGACTCGGCGGCGAGGTTCCTTGTTGAGGTCTACGTTGATGGGTCGGTTGATGGTGTGAGGATGAGAAAACCTCACGCGGTCCGCCTGTTAAATGCAAACTCACGTCATCGAATTGGCCAAAGAGGAACGTGAATTTAAATTCTCATCAGGATCCCATCGAATTGAGTGCAGTCTCCAAACCGTAATCATTCCACAGTATACCATTGGTCTCTTCTTTTAGGTCATATGAAGTGAGGGTCATTGCTCGAAACGTCGAATGTTACGTATTTTTTTATTTTAAGGCCACAGTGTGTTATTGACGAATGTGTTACGTGTTTTTGTTTGTTAATGAATTGTGCTTGTGCATCATTGCCCACCCAGCAGCAGCATCACCACCACCATAACACATTCCTGCGGGAGGGCTGGTAGGAACATTGGGTTGCTCGGTCAATGGCCAGGGTCAACGGCGGCGTGGTGTATTCCGCAAATATGCCCGACTGTGAGGGCGGGAACAAGCCGGCGTGAGTAGGTTAAACGTTGGGCTTTATAAGGGCACCTCGGGGTGACCAGCTCCTCCCCACCCAGCCCCACCCCTCCCACCCCCCACCCAGCCCCACCCTCCCCACCCTCCCCACCCAGCCCCTCCTTGCACCGACGGATGGACGGACACAATAATCCCCTGTGGGCTGGTGGAACCAGTGGGTTCCTACCAGTAAAAATTGATTCAAATAGCAACGTGAAAGTTCTGGCATCCAGCCAAAGGCAGCTGCAGCTCAACGACACAGAGGGAGCGGCTCGCAGTAGCGAGGTTCGCGAGTTCAAATCCTGCTTGACGGACGGTGGACTCAATTCATCGTCCCTTTGTGTGGAAGTCAGATGCGCTTCTGCAGCCGTCTGGAACGCTTTTCCTTCCGATATTAGGAAGCCACTGGAAGCTATGCACTTTGAAATCATCTCGATTGAAAACTAATTTCTTTAGAACAGTTTTTTTGTGTGTTTAGTTTGTTTTCCTTACCCCGCACCACCGATTAGCAAGGCTGGATACGTACGGTGCAAAAGAAGTTCAACATCGCTACATAAATTAGAATACGGCATTTAAAACAAATGACTCATTGACTTGTGGCCACTGTTTCCGTTCAGCGCCTTGATATGTTACCGGAAGTACATATTGACACAACATGCACCCAACTCGTATCGTACATAACCCACACCAATCATCAGTATCGCTGCGGAGAATATAAACAACGTCTAACTCCCCGTATCCGTCTCTCCACATAAAAAAAAAATAAACAGTATTTTTATATATTTTTCCCTTACACATCCCGTAAGCCGCACACAACTGGGAGTGCATACTTTCGTCCGCATTGTTTCAAAACAATGCTGCTGCAAGAAATGCCATTTTTTGCTTATTTAATCGCTTGCACCACAGTAGTTCTAGTCTATGCCTGCGTATGATGGCAGCAGCAGCAGCAATACGTTGAGCAGCGAGATGCCACCAGCCAGTGTCAAGGTCTGCTGCTGGCCACTGCGAGAGGGCTTCAGGAGAGAGATAGAGTTCCTGTCGTCTTTCCGTTGCAGGAAGCGCAGAACAACACAACGTGGTTCGCGATGTGGTCGGTACTTTGAGCTGCGTGGGCCACCTGGCCGTACTTCCACGGCGTGTTCTCTCATTTTGGCGTCACCCGCTGTAGTCGAAGCCCCCAACCAGGCTGAGAAGCCAAGCGCAGCTGCGAATCATTGGGGCTGAACGATTTGGGGAAAATATCTAATTGCGATTTTTCAGACAGATATTGCAATTTGATTTGTGATGAAGAAAAAATGTTTAAAGTCAAGCTTCAGTTCAATATTGACTGTGTAGTAGATTGAAAACATGTGATGGAGCATTACCACGTGATACCATGAAAATATCAACTGCTTTATATATTATAATGCAAGGATGAGAACTTAAAAGTTATTAATTGCTTCCAACATGTATTTATTTAAACAATATTAATTGAAATAGAACTATCAAACATAGAACAATTGTTAAGTAAATAAAAAAAGTTATAATAATATAAAAAAAAATAACAATTCCAATAAGTAAGAGGACTTTTCAAATCGCAAAAAATCGCAGCCTTTGCGATTTGCTATTCGCATTGTTTCAAATTGCGATTTCGATTTGAAATCGATTAACCGTTCAGCCCCTAGCTGCGATCAGCGCACTCGCAGCGCTGCACCGGCGCCCCCTGCAGACGAGCGGCGCGAAAACCCGCCCAGGGCGCGAACACCCCACGGCCACCACGAACACCTCGAGGAGAGCGCAAAGAAGATCTGCCGATGGTGCCCCGACGGTCTCGCCACACCTCGCCGGAGCCTCCCTCCTTCTGCCGGATCTCGCAGCCGACACTCAGTCGACACACGACCTCCGCGGTCGGGTCTCACTGCCTCCCGTCATCACGCCAGGCGGCGGCGGCGGTGGTGGCGGTGGCGGTGAAGGTGACGGCGGTGACGGCGGTGGTGGTGGTGACGGCGGTGGTGGTGGTGGTGACGGTGGTGGTGGCGGTGGTGACGGTGGTGGTGGCGGTGGTTATGGTGGTGACGGTGGTGGTGGTGACAACGGTGGTGGTGGTGGCGGTGGTGGCGGTGGTGGCGGTGGTGGCGGTGGTGGCGGCGGTGGTGGCGGTGGCGGTGGCGACGGTGGTGGCGGTGGTGACGGTGGTGGTGACGGTGGTGGTGGTAACAACGGTGGTGGTGGTGGTGGCGGTGGTGGCGGTGGTGGCGGTGGCGGTGGTGTCGGTGGTGACGGTGGTGACGGTGGTGGCGGTGGTGACGGTGATGGTGGCGGTGATGATGGTGGTGGTGGTGGCGACGGTGGTGGTGATGGCAGCGGCGCACGCCTCTAATCTGGCACTGTGTGGGGGGCGAGGGTTGGTAGATCGCACGGATGCCGTGAAGCAACCCTTCCCGTGAGCGCTGAGGTGCCAGCAGCCTGATGGAACGGGGTATTGGCCTGCTCCGTCTGTATGGGATACTGTGTTGCCCCCTCGCATGCGTGGGTTTCCTCCGGGTGGGTGCTCCAGTTATAAACGCTCATGAATAACACTTTCATATGTCGAGGGCAGCAGAGCTTGGGCATCGGCTGACCGCGTGGCTGCTTCTCTCCCCGGCTCCTTCCTCGTTCTTCCCGAGTCGTTCTCTCTCTCTCAAGCGTGAGCAAATGCTGTGTGGTGCGTTACAGCTTGAAATAATCGTTCGTTCGCTCGTTGCTCAATCCGCTTGTCATGGTGAGGGTCGCGGCCAAGTTTCAATAATAATATTTAGGATTGTTTCTTTGAGGGAACACACCTGAAGAGGTTAACCACCGTGGAGATGGAGCGACCAGGACACAGCTGACGTGCGGAAGTGAGATGGAAGATGCGATGGCAAGATCGTGAGGGGTGGTGAAGTCATTATCATCATCCAGAAGCCATCATCCAGAAGCGGATGAATCGGAGAAAATGAATTACCACCGTGGAAATAATAACAATAATACTCATACGTTATCAATTCCCTGCGGCATTTCCTTGAGGAATGTAATGGGATTCGACGACATATGAGAAAAAAAGTGTGATCGCGGTAAAATAGCGCAAACAATAGCAATTGTGGGTAGCGTAAATTTATTTTTAAAAAATAAAACAACAGACCCAACTCTAAACAATTTCCACAACCACCTCTATCCCACCCCCAAGACAAACCGTACCCACGCGAATGACACCGCTACCACCACCACCACCCAGATTACCCTACGGAAATAATAAACGCATTGCAAGTTCCTTACGACCACATTTCGAACCGAAGTAGAATCAAGGCGACATCAAAATGAACCGTCAATAAAATCGGCACCCCACATTTTTATTGCAATTTTTTTTTCCGATTGAACCCAAAGCATCCCGGTGTTTTTTGTTGTTTAAGAATCGACATCATTTGGTAGTAGAAGCACATTCAAGGGGCGCGCTCCCACGCTGTTGACCGTTGCCGTCGGCCCCACGACTGGAAGGTCATCAACTCAAAGGTCAGAAGCGGGTCGACCCTGCACCACTTTTGGGAGAGATGAATGGTGGATCTTCAGTGGACACGACTCGCCCCCTGCCGGGGGAACGTGGGCATTTTCGCCACGAATGGAGATGTAATAGGTTGAGCGTGGAGATAGGGGCCGTCCATAAATGACGTCACGTGATTTTGGACGATTTTTGACACCCCCCCCCCCTTCGTCACACGGCGTCACAAATGTCTGACCCCCCCCCCCCCCCCTAGGTGCGTGAGGTCATTTACGGACGGCCCCATAGATACTTTGACTTGATCTGAACCCATCGATTCTGAACACCACAACAAAAGCATCTCCCTGGTCGAACGCCAAGTGATTATCGACAGCGTGGTCCAGATGTATTGTGACACCCCCCCCCAATCCAATTCTCTAAAACTTAATGTTTTTAAAGTAAGGTTTATTTAAAACAGAAATATAGAAATTAATATGCGAAGGCAAAAAATGGCTCAATTAATTTGGGGTCACAAGGCATCTGGACCACCCTGTCGATGCACAGCAAAGCACTTTCAGAAGCAAGAAAGTGGCAGTGAAGATTCTTTAAAGAGACACTTCCATAAGCGAGTACATCTCCTTTGGAAAGTCAAAAGTGATCGACACCATCAACAGACAGGCCCTTACCACGTCCTCCACTGGCTCTGCGAGGATTTGCCGAGAGAAACGAGAATCACCCCAGAATGTTGACCTCGCTTGGTGCCGCAGGGCTGGCTGTGGAGTGGATCCAAACCACCTCGCTCCACGCGGCGCGCGGCCACACGAGGCCGACCGCGTCGACGCGTCTCAGCTGCACTAGTTGGGTACTGGAAGAAGATAATTTGCCCGATCGACAAATACGAAGGAGGAGGAGACATCGTCACAGCGGTGACACTCCCGCCGCGGCTCCTGACGCGGTTATCTGGCTTGAGCACCTGGATGTGAAATTGTCGTCGTTGCCTCCGCAGCTACATCAGCAGCCGCACGAGGAGAAGAAAGAAGCAGAAGGAATAAGAGGAAGAAGCAGAGGAAGAAGAAGAAAAGGAAGGAGAGTATTTCCAATTCTGGCAACAGTGCTGCCCTTGTAAGGCGAGGGCGCTGAGCCACTGCTCTCGCTGCAAGCGCCTCTTGCAGGGACGGCGGTGGTCGAGCTGTGCGAGTGTATTCGTGTAAAAAAAACTTTATTTTTATTTTACCAGGTAAGGCCCACTGAGCTGTACGGCTCTTTTCAGAAGTGACCTATCACAAATGATAGCCCAATGAAGTGGCTTACCATGTGGAAATGTATTGCAGCACAAATACTCTCAATGCATGTTTATAAATGTGGAGGTAAAAACCGGAGGACGCGGAGATAAATCCACGAGACCACAGGGAGAGAAACACGCTTACTCCAAATCGACAGCAGGCGTCAGGGTCGGGATCGAACCCAGGACTTGCTGCAGACTAGGCGAGATAGTTAACATCTCCGAGCCACCGGTGTTTAAACGTCCTGTTCGGCCCTCAGTAAGGACAAGATTCCCCACCTCGGTCGTACCCTGTAGCCGGCGCTCGGTCGATCTCGGAAGAGTCGCGAGCGTCGCAATCAAAAATTCCCCACAGCTCCCTGAAGTGGAGCGGCGATTGCGCTGCGAGTCCGCGTTGAGCCTGCCGGCGGTGAGGAGGCATCATGGCGGCGAGATGCTCACTACCTCGCCTGGCGTACAGGATGTCGTAGGTTCGATCGCGACCCTGACGCCTGCTGTATATTTGGAGTTCCCATGTCTTTGTCTCTCCCCGTGGTCGCGTGGATTTTTCTCCGGGTCCTCCGGTTTATTTCCCTCGACATTAACGAATCGACAGTCACGCGCTTAGAGTATTCGGCTACGATCAAATGTCCACGTGACGATAAGCCACTTCGTTGAGCTCGCGTTTTGGACGGCCAGGTGGCTTCTGAAAAACAGCTCGTGGGCCTTACCTGGTAAAATAAAAAAAATTTTGGAGTTTATAGAGTGACAGGGAGACGGCTCCATCAGTGGCGCTGGCACGGGAGGAGCGGGCGGTCGAGCGGGCGCATGGGCGAGCGGGCGGTCGAGCGGGCGGTCGAGCGGGCGAGCGAGCCCTCACAGGGTGACGACGCGGTTTTCACGCCGCGCTCGCTCCGCCGCAAACACCAGCAGGTGGCTCTTCAGCGTCTCCCCGGGCCCCGTCAGGATGAGCGACGGCTCCTTCTTCTGTGAAGCAGACGGCATCAATCGTCAGCGTCGTCGTCATCGTCGTCAGCCGTGATTCATCCTCGCCAAAGCCGTCGCCATCTCCCGCCGTCTCGCGACGTCGCCGATGCGGCTCGCTCCTGCGCCGCTAACCGATTTCATTGCCCCCGTCGTCTCTGTGTGGAGGGAGTCTTGAACGTGTTCCCACTTTGGCTCCACGTGTTCCCCCCCTGCTGCCTCTCCTTGCTATAACTTTCCATGGTCAAAATCCGTCTTGCCAATGCATCATCGCAGCTGCACTGGGGCCCATGAGCTGGGGCGACGAGAGGTGGGGAGGCGGGAGGACGCCTTTCCATTCCTAAATCAGGGCCCATGCTCAGGGCCACATTGTAGATATTTTTTGGGGGCCCCTCATTGTATTTTATTGTGAGTTATATACGATGGTGAGATGTTAACTACCTCGCCTGGTATACGGGAGGTCGTGGGTTCAATCCTGACCCCAATGCCTGTGTATTTGGAGTTTGTGTGTCTCTCTCCCCATGGCCGTGGGGATCTTTCTGTGGGTCCTCCGGTTTTTCCCTCCACATTTAGAAACCTGTCAGTCTAACACGGAGCCTGTCGCGACCAAAATCATCCATAATAGAGGTGCTATTTTTGGGTTAGATCGCGTAAATATATAAATGTGTCGCTAAAACCGCCACCACCCGACACAGCCAACTAGTAAGAGTTGTCACGTAAACAGAACGTGCCAATTCGTCACTAGTACAGCACCACCAGTGTGTTGGAGAGCCAAGCCACAACATTTATAATCTGAGTACGACGTTACTAATTACTGAGTCAACATACATTATGCATGTGCATTATGCGAGCCCTTTGATCTTGTTCTTCCTGTCCACTGTGTGTATTAGAATAGCTGTACCAACGGTAATCCCTATTTAAGTTTAGTGGCCTGTATAGGCATGCATTTAAACAATGTATTATTTGATAAAATTTGCTTTCACGCAGCACTAAGTCGGTAGCTATCCGAACTGTTAAAATAAATAATAAATTAAAATGTAACGGTTTTTAACGACACATTTATATATTTACGGAATCTAACTCCCCAAAAAACCTCCCTCTATTTAGAAACATGTGTTTAGAGAATTTGGCTGCTATAAATGTCCCCATGATGAGCCACTTCGTTGAACTATCATTTGTGATAGCCAGGTCGCTTCTGAAAGAGCTACTACACAGCTCAGTGGGCCTTACCTCGTGCAAATATATATACACAAAATAAATCGTATATTTATATTTAGTCTTATTGGGGGACCGCCTCAAAAACCCAAAGCCCCCTGGGATGCAGTTCCCCGAAGCCCGTGGCGTTGATGCGGCCCTGCCCGTGGCGACGGCCCCTGGGGGAGTGCGGCGCTCACGGCCACGGCGGAGATGAAGGCGTCGACGAGGAAGAAGTCGGCTCCGCCGTGTCCGCACAGCCTCGTGGAGGCGGCGGCGCTCGCCGCGGGGTGGTGAGCGGACGACTCCGAGAGGAAGTCGTAGACCCTCACGGGGCCCCCACCCTCGCAGTGCAGCTCCCCCTGAGACACGGAGACAGCGCAGCGGTGGCTATGAGATGTTAGCTGCCTCGCCTGGTACACAGGAAGTCGTGTGACCCTGAGCCTGCTGTATATTTGGAGTTTGCGTGTCTCACTCTCTCCGTGGCGAGATGTTAGCTACCTCGCCTGGTACACAGGAAGTCGTGTGACCCTGAGCCTGCTGTATATTTGGAGTTTGCGTGTCTCACTCTCTCCGTGGCGAGATGTTAGCTGCCTCGCCTGGTACACAGGAAGTCGTGTGACCCTGAGCCTGCTGTATATTTGGAGTTTGCGTGTCTCACTCTCTCCGTGGCGAGATGTTAGCTGCCTCGCCTGGTACACAGGAGGTCGTGGGTTCGATCCCGACCCTGACGCATGTTGTATATTTGGAGTTTGCGGTGTCTCTCTCTCTCCCCGTGGTCGCGTGGATTTTTCTCCGGGTCCTCCGGGTTTTCTCTCCACATTTAGAATCAACATCGCGCGTTTTAGAGTGTTTGGCTGCAGTAAATTTCCACGTGATAAGCCGCTTCGTTGAGCTATCACTTGTGATCGCTTCTGCAAAAGAGCTCGATCGCTCAGCGGGCCTTACCTGTTACAAATAAAACTAGTTGACAGTTTATCGTCCGTCAGAGATGTTTTGTTTGTGGCCATCTTCCTCTGTTTTGATCTCGACGGAAGAAGTGGAGATCATAGAGCTACCTCTCAGACCCCTTCAGGTCACGTCTGGTCCACACAAACAAACAAAGATCCCCCGTGTAGTCTCAACAGACTGTTGGGGCGAGTGCTGTTAGCGAGCACCTATGAAGGCCGGAATGGTACACGAGGGGGTGGGTCGCCAGCACCACGCCCGGCTGCGTGTCTCTCTCGTGGCGATGTTTACACACCACACCCGGTACTCATTTGAGGCTGAGTCGACCGAGGGGAGGCCCAGGACGGGTTCCAGTAATCGTCACTGGTGTTGGCCGTGAGCGGGAATCGAACTTGTGTCGCCGGGTTCGTAGAGCAGCGTAGCGCTGACCGCTACGCTGCCGCTCCCCTCTGGTCCACACGCAGCGGAGGGCATCGCTTTCCACTCGCCTCGCATATGGGAGGAATGTCTGTCGCGTAACTGTCAAAGCGATGGCCAAACTAAGTGAACGAACCAAATTGAATGTGATGCTTTTTTGTGTGCAGTCCGATCTGAGACCACCAAATCCCTGCCCCTCCAGGCTGCTTCCTGCCTTTGCACCCAGGGACGCAGTGGCACCCCCCCCCCCCCCCCGTGCTTATCTGCACTGGGGAGGGGGCGCACTTGAACTTGATCAGGGCAGACAAATCCACTCGTCAGCCACGATCAATCCACTTCTGGATGAAAGCCTGCGCAAGCCGTCAGCATCTCTCCTAATCCACCTCACGCCTGCACTGTCCCGCAATGCAACAATCTATCGAACTATCTCCTGCGCACGAGCTGATCCCATCGCTCCATCTCCACGGTGAACGTCGGCTGCCATTCTGTCATTCGTCTCTACCGTCGCAACATCCGGTGGTCTCCCATACAAGCGCTGTCCAGCCCCAACCCTGCTTATCTTCTGATATCTGATGGGACCTGGATGAATGCACACATTAATTAGAAACATATATATTGTGTATACAGCATTCCACAATACCCTGCAGGTGCTACAGAGGGTGTACACTGAATGTCATTGTCATTGACTGGTACCAGCGGTGTCAAGATCGGCCTCTGAGGAGGAGGCTCGTGAAGGACGCTGCTACTGGCAGTAAGAGGCAGTCGCCCTCCAGCAACAACGGAGGGCAGGGGAGCGATGCTCACAACAATGCTCACAACAACGAGCGGAACGCCGGGCAGCTAAAATGCAGCAATTTGGCAGAGTAGGGGGCACCAGCTGATGCGTCTGCCAGACATCTCAGTCAGTCAACCCGTGGCACCTGGGTCTGTCCCGTGACCTCCGGTCAGTGAGCCTTCGACACTTCACGCGATAGCCTCAAAGTGCACCTGGCCTGGCACGGGCGCCGTGGCGACGTCACCGCCACTTGGTGGTGAATGGCGGCTGTTGTTGTTGTTGTTGTTCACCAAATTTCGATGACTTTGCCGCGCAGTGGCGGCCGTGCGGTTCTGAGTCGGGTGGCTTCAAAGCGCCGCCGGGTCGACAAATTTGAGAACGAGGGGCTCGAATTCGCAATTTCAGCCGGCCGTGATTGAAAGAGGTGTTCGAGTGCACGGCGGCGAGTTTACGGTTTCAGCCTCGCCGCCTCTCATGTAATGTTGTTTTTCACTTCAGTAATTGGGATCTCTAACATCTCTTCCAGCGCTCAGAGCTAAAAATCACGGCCACCGCAAGGTAGACAACTTGGCACGCAGTGGATCACCCGCAGCAGCAGCAGCAGCAGCGCAGAGGGAACACCGCTTAACCCTTTGCCGTTGCGAGACGGCTGCAAGTTGCAGGGTGGGGGGGGGGGTCCCGTTCACCGCTGAATCCCACGTTAATTAGTACACGCTTTTTATTTAACTCACTCTGTCTGTTGTTGTTGTCGTATCCTCAAATCTTGTAACTCAATTTTAACCCACTTCCCAATGTGGTATCGACTGCAAACTTGGTATACTTATGTCATACTGATGATAATACTATATTATATCATAAAAAATTAAAAAAAATATTTTAAACCATCTTTTTTATACGTTATGTTTCGCCTTGGGTCAAATTGTCCACGCTCAACTTACGTTGGCTGGAAATCACCACAGCCCCGTACTCTGTGGCAAGCCTCAGGGCCACTTCCTAGAGTCGTGGAGTTCTGCCATTACTCGTACGGTACATTTAATTAAAGCGTGTTTTAAAAAAAGTATTTTTAAATATTACTTTTTTATTTAGAGAGGCGTAGCGCCGTTGTTTTAAAAGGCATTGCTATTCGCCGCAGAGAACTCTAGCGACACGACCGCACTCTAAGATAGCTGGCGCCAAACTGTGCCACGCGCCCTCCCGCGTGGCCTTTTACTTCCGATTCCGTTCTGATGACGTGCAGTACATACACACACGCAGTACACGTACATACACACACGCAGCACACGTACATACACACACGCAGCACACGTACATACACACACGCAGCACACGTACATACACACACGCAGTACACGTACGTCATCGGAAGGGAATGGAAGAACCGACGGCGTACACGCGCGTCATCGGAATGGGAAAGAGTTAAGTGTTCACGAACAAGAATCATGACACTCTGATGGAGGCGCGAGGTCGCGTCCTGACTTGCTAAGATGCCCTGGCGGGCTCCAGCAGAGCATCTCTCGCCTCGTCACAGGACTCCAGAAATTGAGATGCAACACAATTGGTCGTCAATCGTTACCAACAGCGAGCCGTTTCGTGTGCGCGTGTGCAAGTTCATTGTGCACGAGTGCAGGTCCATTGCTGGATAAGGGCGTCGCGCGCCGTGCTGGCAGCGAAGATCATTCGACCGTAGGGGCCGTCCATAAATGACGTCACACGATTTTGGACGATTTTTGACCCCCCCCCCCCTTCGTCACGCGGCGTCACAAAAAGTCAGACCCCCCCTCAAATATGACGTCACAAAGCTCTGCCCCCACCCTCCCCAAAATAAAACATGCTTCAAATCGCTTTAAACTATTGTCATTGTAGTGCGTATTTAATGTGGCGCTGTACTCTGATGTTGTAGGAAAAAACATTTATTAAAAAGTCTATTTAATTAAGTAGAACGTGTTGTCTATATTTATTTAAAGTTGCGCATTTTGATGTGACGTCACATTTCTCAACCCCCCCCCCCCCCAGGTGCGTGACGTCATTTATGGACGGCCCCGTACTTCACCCCGCTGGTCAGTGCGTGGGGTGGGTGGTGAAGGTGCGGGGCGAGCAGGAGGAAGGTGGACAACGGATTTGTATTTTGCACCGCCCTCTGGTGTCCACGTCGCCCACTGCTCCCCTCTCGTTCGCTCTGGTGGTCGCCCGCCCGCGGACTAACCAGGCTCAACGCCCGCTGAGCCTGCGAGGTCTGACGCGATGGGGGCGCGCTCCCGAGTGATTTGGTCATCGGTGTCACGTCTGAATTGGTAATACATTTAAACAACAACAACAACAATCGCTGACGAAGACCTCGCCTATAAGATGGGCAGTTACATAGCTGTCAAACCCTTATCAGTGCCCTACCTAATTACAGAACAATTCAGACCTTATTGGTCACCCCGTGTCCGTATAAATCTCAACTTTCACCCGACAAAGTCCCATCACAAGGGAGAAACACAAAGAAATCAAATTTTTTTGTGCCCATATTGAAACGGATGTTCACCGTATGGACCTGAAAACTCAATTTCCCTGCACAAGAATACGGAGTGAGCCGTGTGGGTCGACAGCTCTGCAGTTCGACGGCATTGATTCAAGCAAACCCGACTGCTGTCGAGACACTGCAAGTCGAAACCGGTCCAGAGTTTTGCTCGTCTTGAATCGACGCTGGAGAGATTACGCACTCCCAAAGTGCCGTGCGGCTGATGGTTTGTGTAAAGAAAAAAATGCCTTTACTTTGTATGTGGGAGAGACATTGCTGAGTTACTTGATTTACATTTTTCACAAGGACGCGAATGATTGTTTTGAAAGTGCCGTGACTAAGAATACGGCCCCTATTCTTCGTGATTTTATCATTTACGATGTCGCAGCGGACACGGAAGGTTTAGTCCCGTGGCAGTGACGCACCCGTGCTGCTCAGGGTGCGATGCTGCGCGCGTGTGAAATAAATACGTTGTGGATTTGCTCTTCAACACACCGGAGTGCTGTACTCGTCACGAATTAGCACGTTTTGTTTACGTGACAAACCTTACTAATTGGCTGTGTTGGGTGGTGGCGGGTTTAACGACACATTTATATATTTACGCGACCTAACCCCAAAAAAAATCTGTATTATGGATGATATTGGTCGCGAAAAGCCCCCGTGTTAAACTGACGTTGAGCATGCTGACATGCTGCAACAACTCCTACAAGAAGGCCGTG